AAACATAATGTTCTTCATGTAATTGTAGATTGGGATTTAGTGTGCAAATGATTCATCTTCCTGGAACCACCTCAAGAGTCCATGGTGTCCTAAGATAGGGCAGTGAACACAAAACAGAATCACTTTTATGGCCACATACACACAGCACCAGTAATAGCTACCCAGGGGTTGTCTTTAATTTCCTTCCCCCTTTCCAATCTAGCATTAGCCATGCAAATGCCTCCATGAGCTCTCCTCTTACTAATCAGTGTAGACACAACAAAGCTTAAGTTCTAAAAACCCCAAGTGGAAAAAGTCATGTTTGAGGCAGTCACGGAAATCTACATCTGGGGGACTAGGTGATGATATTACCAAGGGCTCATTGTTCCCATTCAAGTGCCCGGACAGCATTGGTTATGCAGGCAAAGGTCTCTGTTTTTTTCAAAAGTGCGTACAGATAAAGATGTAGAGATGAAAAGACCCATATGTCTGGAGTTTCACTTATCACAGCAAGAAGAGGAGTTGGAGCGAGGAAGAGAGGAGGAATGCAGGAAAGAAGGAAGGATGTGAGGGAGGAAAGAAGGTGGATGAAGCAAGTTTGGCCGAGTCCTGGTAAATGATGAAGCTTGATGATGGTTTTGATGGGGTCTGTTAGAGTTCTCTGGCCATTGTTTAGTGTATTTGAGTATTTTCATGACAAACTTTTTTTGTAAAAGACAAGTGAAACCTCTTCACACAAATCGCAGCGATGTAAATCACCCCTTATGTGTGTAAATTCAAGTTAATGAAATGTCTTTCCAGACTTCATTCTGATGCCATAAGAATTCTGGGCAGATGGTTTTTATTTTAGCAAACACCACTAGTAATAGTGATGGTTCCTTTATATGTGTCCAGGAAACTGAGGCTCAGATGACTCATGCCATGCCATCTCGCACATCTCTGTGGGCCCAGTGGCGCAGGGTGGGGGCACATGGATGTTGGGGAAGGAGGTGGATCCGTTGGGAAATTTCTGAGATGTACACGGCCTCCTGAGGGTGAGTCGGGAATCTGACTACAGGAAAGGAGGCATTTCCTCAGATTTATTAACTGAACAGGACACAGAAAACAGAATTCACAACTTTATTGAAAATACAAAAACATGCCCTAAAACAGAGGGGCAAGAACTTTGGGCTGCCTGAAACTTCAGCGGTCATTTGGGGAATGATGCTTGATGGTGAGATATGAGTGTGAATGTGGCTCAAAAGCACGTAGTGCCACACAGACCGTTCCTTAGAAAATGGGGACTTCAAAAGGAACACAGATGGTAAGGCACCAGGCCTTGCCCCCTAAGGCCAGGCACGGGGAAGCCTACGCGGGAGTATCCAGGGCAGAACAGGCAAGACAAGAGGAGGAAAGTCCCGCAGGTTCAGCAGAGGCTGCCTCAGTGGTCCTGGCTCCGGAAGAACCCATATGACATCCAGCTCTTGAAGAACGGAGGCATCGCACAGTCCGAACAAGGTTAGGACTGTGGTGCGGCCGAGCAGCACGGGATGCGGCAATCTAAACCTTAACGGCCTCTGCTGTCTTCTCCAAATGGCCCTCCTCCTCCTGAACCAAACCTTCAATCGCAGAGAAGAAAGGAATTGGTTGAGTACACTGAGCATTTAATGTGCTCCACGAAAACACACAGCAGGCAGTGCTCCAGGCCCGTGACATTTAAACCGCATCCGGACAAGCTTTTCCCTTCCTGCTAAAAGAGCGCAGGAAAGTGGCCACTGTGGCCTCCCTTCAGCGCACCCCAGGGACCGCCCACTGTGTGCCAGGCTGTGGCTTGGTATTCTGCTTCGACCTTCTCCTCCCGACTGCCATGTCACTTCCCCACGCTTAGAAGCTGAGGAACTGCACTCTGTCCCTGCCGGGACTGCAACTACCCCTGGGATGGCTGTGCCCTGACAACTGTCCTCAGCTGTCCAGCTGCCACTGACCCGTACTCACTAGAACAGTGGCACCCTGCTTGTGGGGGAAGCTGAACATAGGAACAAGTGGGTGCCTTTCAAGTCATACTGAGGGGAACAGCACCCATTTGGAGAAGCCTGTGTTCAGGGTCCACTAAAGAGCCAAGAGGAGGAGCCGGTTGGATCTTTCAACAGAAGCTTTCTGCCAAGGATGAAGGAAGGCCCATCCACCCTCTGAAACCTCTCCAGAGTGAAAACGATGGTACCGCAGGGAGGCTGGGTCATGGGGGCCCAGGGAGTTTGTGGCTTGTCTTGCTGGGACACTGTGTCCACCTGAAGCCTGGACACTGCCTTTGCCTTGCAGAATGTCGGGGTAACGGGTGCTTACGCTAAGTGCGACCAACCTCAGCAAACCTCTTAATCCCTTGCCCAGCCTAGCATCTGGGGGGCAGGAGGCACACCGCGGTCAGGGCCGTCAGTTCTGCAACGCTCCACCCTGTTCCACCCTCCAGACCTTCCTGGGCCCAGGCCTGGGTCGGCTCCCTCTGCTCTGGCTGCAGGTCCAGGGCGCAGGGCCATAGCCTCTGTTGCCCAGCACGGTGGGGTCCCCAAGCCCTGCTCCTCCCCCAGGAGATCCCCATGCCCTCCCTCATTCTGAGGGCAAGGATGTGGCGCTGACCTTTCAGGCAGGTAGCCAGCAACTGTGTGGGTCACAGAAGGGCTCCTCCCCAATATCTGCCAACAATTAACAGCCACAAATAAAGCCTGCCCTTCGCACTCCACTGTCCCCTCAGCATCTGAGTTAGGGAACTACGTTGGATCTCACATTTTTGGGAGTTCCTGGTCTGCGCCATTGTCAGGAGACAGAGGGCCCCCCCTCCCCCATCTGTGTCCTCAGATTCGCTCCGCCATCTCAGCATGTCGGTCCTTCTGCTGCATGAACAGGCAGTCTGCAACAGCCAGGGCCAAGGAGCTCGTCTGGGGGAGCCCAGGTGTACTAGTGGTCAAATCTGCATAAACATAACCAAAACGCAGAGCAGGCGACTGAGGTACAGGCCGCTACTGGTTCCATATTACTAATCCTGGTTTCTTATTCAAACAGCTCCTCCTGTATGTGCAAAATAGAGTGTGGGACAGCTACCATTAATATACTGTCGGGGCCAATACTGTCTGAGCTCACTCATACGTGAGACCTTACAGACAGAGGAAAGGAAAAACAAAATCCTAGAACAGGAGATGAGATTTGCAGTTACCAGAGGCAGGGCTGCGGGAGGGGGCATTTGGAGTAGGGTGGTCCTCTTCCAAAAGACACAAGCTACCCTTTACAGTGTTAAGTGAGTCCTGGAGAAGGTAATGTACAACATGATGCCTGTAGTTCACACTGCTGGATGGCACACAGGGAAGCTAAGAGAAGAAATCCTAAGAGATCTCATCACATGAAAAACACACTTTTTCTTTCTTTCTCCGTAGCCTTTAAACACAATTTTTCTTTCTTTCTTTGTAGCCTTATGGTAGATGTTAACTACACTTACGGTGGTAATCATTTCACAGCAGGTATAAGTCAAGTCCTACTGCTGTGCACCTTAACCTTATACAGTGCTGCATGTCAATTATATTTCAATAAAACTAGGGACCACATCCTAGGGAAGTTCGGCCAGTAGAGTTTGGAAATGGATGGAAAACTCAGGCCGCTCTCCTTATTTGTTTCTGCCGTGTCCTCTTTCTTCCAGACCCCCACTGACAGAGCGCTTTGCCTCCAGGGAGGGGAACCGACTCGCCAGGACGTCAGGATTGCTCTTCCTCTGAGCTTGCTTCGCCTGCTTGAGGAAGCAGAGACCTGGGCCTCCCTAGTCCTGGCCTGACCCGCCTGGGAGCCCAGCCCCCGGCCTTAGGCTACCAGCACCCAGCGGCCTGCTTTGTTGGGCTGCTTTCCTGGCCCCCTGCCGCCAGATCTGCTGCCTGCTTCCTTCACTGCACTCACGGCACACACTCTCTGCGGCGAGGCTAACGAGCCATCCTCATTTGCCCTTTCCTCTGCCTCTCCTTTCCTTTCCTTTTCCTTTTTCTTTTTTAAGAGGTTTTTAAAACTCACCTCTTGACCCGTTGGCCCACAGATGAGTCCTCACTGACTGAGCCAAGGGAAGATATTTCAAATGACCACGGGGAAATATTTAAAAAACTGACAACAGGGGAGAATCCAGCCTGAAGTAAGAGCCACCCCGACTTCCCCTCTGTCTTTACAATAGTGCCGCAAAATGGCGGAAAAACCCTCAGGGGTTACAAATTCCCCAAGAGAATATTCACTGAAGCATCTGGTAGTTTCACAAATTTGGATGTGCCTGCAACCCCCCAGGCTTATGTTTGACTCTATGGAATTCTTGCTGACACTTGGCAGTGAATGCTTAAGTCGGTGGAACTTTGTCAGAAATGGTTGTTTTAGGTTGTCTGGCTTTTTAGACAATTGCACGGTTGTGAGACTCCCCCTCCCATCGGCACCATCATGCACAACCTACTCCATCAGCACTGTTTGGGGGCTGTCATATCAAGGACTTCCAGAAAATTTAATTCAGGCTGCCACTGTCCCTAATACCACCTTACCAGACATTTAACTGCAGCAGGAGGGCCAGCCACGTGGACATTAGGCTACACCCTCCCCATCACTCTCAGTTTGCTTCTCTGTTGTGTTCTAGGTGTGAACTGTTCCCTCGTTTCGATGCCTCAATGTCCACGTATTCACTCTTTTGCAAAGAGTTTATGCTTGCTTTAAAAATTTTAACATTTGAACCCCCTTATTTATGAATTTGAATAATTTCCACTTCAGACTTAACCTTATTTGATGCCACACAGCAGGCTTACCCAAAGGATAGCAGTATTAGAAAGAGTAGAACTATATATGACTGTGCATCTGTGTGTGTGTATATATGTGTGGATATGATAAATATATATATGTATTATATGTAGATAGAATTCAGTGACATAGAATAATTAAATATATTTCAGTGTAGTATATACAAACGGATATATATCTGTGTGTGTGTGTCTGTGCGTGTGTGTGTGTGTGTCTACCAGGTAAAGGATGCACGGATCCAAGACCACGTGAAATTCTCATTCACAGTTTCTTTTAACTTCAAAATGACAAACTCTCAGCCTGGGGGAATCTCGCCGCCACCTCTCAGTTACTGCTCTTACCCATTTTATGGATTAGAGCCTTAAAATGCTTTGGTCGCTCGCTCGTTGGAACCTTCTGTTTATGTATCTATCAGGGCCAAAGAGGCTGAAGTACATTCATACATACATATTCCTGTATACAAGGAATGGTATATTATGGCAATTTCTTTTTCCTTTAGGAAACCAGGTTCCCCTGGTAATGGGAAATTTCCAAATGCTGGCGTTCATCTGTCCTGTTTGGCACCCACCAAGTCCCCAAAGTTCAAAACTTATTTCCTAAATAGGAAGAAGGCAACAGAAACAGGAATGTCAGAAAGCATAGGACAAGGGTGTCCAAGCCCCGCAGCAGGTTTCAGAATTGCTGCCCTGCCTAACTGCTTTTTCAGGTGCACTCACCTGCACTGTGGCTTCAGATACATCCACGATTCCTGCAAGTTCCTGTCTGAGGGGACAAAATCACAAATGTTCAGCGTTTGGACTAGTGGATGAATTTAAGTATAGGATGCGATCTCATTAATACTTTTTCCTTTTCAGGGAAATGTCAGTGATTTATTTTATGGACCAATTTCTGCAGTAAGAAAACTCACACCATGTCAAGATTTACAGTGAAATTAAGTCAACAGAAAGCAGTTAAGGAAAGCCAAGTGTCCCAGGAAAAGGAGGCACGGTCCAAGACCACATGAAAATCTCATTCACAGTTTATTTTAATGGTACTAACTTCAACATGAGTAAAACCCTCGGCCTGAGGAAATACCGCCCCACTTCTCAATTACTGATCTTACCCCTTTCTATGGATTAAATTAGAGCCTTGAACACCTTGATCGCTCACTCGCTCGACGTAACCCTCTGTATCTGTGTATCTATCAGGGCCAAGGAGGCTGAAGTACATCCCTGGTAGACGTGAATGGATGGCACAAACTCTCTGCAGTTCACTCTCTGGTTCTGCTTAGCTTCCATTTTTCTATCAGCCGCTGCCCCCATCCTCTGCACTACACTGTTCTGTACTATCCAGGCTGAAGCTTCCTTTAGGGACAGTTTTACCTCAAGAGCGAACGTTATGGAATGCAGAGAAATTACTAAATCATGATAAACGCTTTTTCAGATGCAGCGTTTACAAATGTAAAAGTCAATACCGAAACGACCCACAGTGAACTGATATATCAAAATGTGAAAGAAAGGTAGGGACACTACCCTGATTTGCCCCTGCCGCGGTTCTAGCACAACAGAGGAGCGCGGCTTGGTTTACCTCAATCCTGTGCACAACTATTTCCCTTGATTCCCGAAAGGAAGAACCCTGACCCCCACCCTAGGACCCAGGTGTACAGGAGGGGACCCCAGCAGGCTCGAGTCCTCCAGGTGGCTTTTAGCTCGAGAGGGGCGGAGGCATGTGGGAACCAAATGGGCCCTGGAGCAGCCCACAAGCCCGGGGGTAAATTCGCACCAAGCGGGACTGTCGCTTACCGCAGGGCCATGCTGGGATAGCCAGTGTGCTGGAAAACATACTCCATTAGCAGCAGCTGGGAGTAGGTGGAGAGGTGACGCTGGGCCCGCTGCGGCTCTTCTCTGGGCTCCGGATCCCCAATGGCAGCCTGCGCAGGCAGCTCCTCCTGCCCCGCCTCTCCAGGCTCTCTAGCTTCGCCGCTGCCAGTGCCAACGGCCTCGAGGTTTCGCACCTCCACCAGGCCAGGAGCTTGGCCGCCATGGTCGCCGCCGTCGCCTTCTTGCTCTCCGCCTTCCGCAGGCCTCGCTTCTGCAAAGGAAGAAAGCCAAAGGTGAAGATCAGGGCGCTGGGGCCCAGGCTGTGGGAAGGAGGACATGAGGGGCAGCATCTAAGGGGCGTCCTGTCCGCCCGCCTCCCCCAGGGATTCTTTCTTGGGAGTTGGCTGCAGTGCATGTCCCGTCTGGCACCGACCACGCAGCTCTTCGCGGTCGTCCTCGGCTTCCCGTCTGCGAAAGCAGGCAAATTCGCGGCGGCACGGGGGCAGAGGCTCCATGTCCTGAGTGCGCACTCGAGGAGGCTGTGTGCGTCTGCAGATTCTGCGCTGGGCTCTCCTCAGATTCCTGGGACACAGAAAGCGCCAAGATGGCGGCCAGCCTCCTTCCCCTTCCTTCTGACGCCTAGAAATGGTTACAATGTGTCTAGCTGTACGTGGGCTATGGTTTTTGCAACAACTCCTGGGGATGGGGGCAGGCCGAGGTGCGCATGCGTCCATCGACGGTTACAGTGTATCTAGTTGTACCGGGGCTCTGGTGTTTTGCGGCACTTCCTGGGGCTTGGGCCTGCCGGGGGGCGCCCACCACCTGCTCCACCGCCTCCTCCCCAAGGCCTACCACGGCCCCTGCCACTCTGAGGCTCTCGAGCGCGAGCGGCTGGGCTGCTTCCGGAGGCGCGGCTCTGGCCGCCACGCTGACGGCTGAGGCCATTCTGGTCCCGGCCGGAGAGCAAACGCGCGAGCCAGAGCGGCGGCCCGGCGGGGGGCGGGCGGCTCTCCTGGGCTCGGGGCTCCTCGACAAACTGCGGCGCTTCCCCGCGGAGCATCCCCCTCACGGCTGCGCGAACCAGGCTCCGGAGCCGTTGTGGCCGCGATAATAGGGGGCGCTCTCGTGAGCGGGGCCTTGGCGTCCCGAACCTGATGCCACGCTCCCGCCCCAAGCCACGGAAACCCAGCCAACAGTTCCAGGCAAGCCGACAGACTGCAGCCCAGCGCAGTCTCTCTCCCCGGCGCCAGCCCCTCCCCCTCACCTCTCCGGTTCAGACACGCCCTCACTTGCCCAGGTAGTCACCCATTGACAGGGGGGTGAACTTCTCTCCACCCCCGAGGATATGCAAATGCACCAAAGCCAGGCCAGACCCTCGGGAAATGTTACAATTTTACCCACGATGCATTTTTTAATATTTTTGATTTACACCCATTTATTCTTTTATGGAATACTATGTTAGTTGTAAAACGGTGATTGGCATTATGAAAATTGAAGGAATTCATACAAGTCCCAAACAGAAAGAACAAATCCACTCACATCTCACAAAGATGAAATAATCAGGGCTGATATCGGTGATATTCAATGCTGGTTGATATTCTCACAGACATCCCTACACACACAAGTATAGAGAAGACAGGGTGAATGGATGAGTGTACACAGAGAGAGAATCTAGTAAGACTGGAATCATACCACATATGCTTCTAAAAAATAAAAAGTACTAAATATAAAATTTACTTCATTTAACAGAAGAAAAAGAAAGAAAAGAGATCGAAAGAACTGCTGAACCTCAGAACAGTATTTCTTGACCACAAGAGACATTAGTTTCACAAAATTCCCTTTTTTCCACGCTCCAGTGAGCTTGTCCCCGGGGCATAATGTTTCTTAATAGTCTCCCAAGATGCCCACCTATCATTAAAAACAGCTACAGAAATGTGCCAACAAGTGCAATTAGGTCAAGTGAGGCCTGCTTCATTACCATGGGGCCTCCTGTCCTGGACATTCGTGATGTCCTGGTCCTCACTGGTTAGAAATTGGAGATCAGAACTGGGCAAGCAGCGTGAATCTCTAAAAGAACCAGAATATGTGACTCCTTAAGCGAGCTTCTCTCCATCACGCCACATATGCCTCAGGGTATGCGGTGGCGCTAAGATATATATTATGGAGTAATATTTCTGAGGGCTTCCTCTGTAGCTAGACATGGTGCTAGGTACTTAACGTATGTCATGTCATTTACTCTTCTCATCAGTTCTATGACATAGGTATTGCTATTATTCCCATCTTGTAGATAGTCTCCACACAGAAGTCCTCCCTAATGTATATATGCATGCATATACATACACATTACATACACTTACTTATATACAAGGACCAGAAGTATTTTTTTTCTTTAGAAAATCACATTCTCTGGTAGTGGGAAATTCCTACAAGCTGGGTTTTGCATATCCCATTTTCCACCCACAAAGAGCTAAGGTTCAAAACTTATTTTCCAAACATGGCTAATTGTTTTTTGTTCAACATTATTTTCGTTTATACTGACCTGCATGCTGGCTTCAGTCACATGCATGCATCTTGCAAGCTCCTTTCTGAGCGGAGAAAACCACAAACATTCAGCTGTAGATAAAATTAAATACACCATAGTCAGTTCATGGTTGCTTTTATTTTTTCATTTTTTATTTTTTTTAATTGAGGCATCATTGATAGACAGTCTTACGAAGGTTTCACATGACAACATTGTGATTTCAACGTTCATCCATATTACATGATTGCTTTTAAATGCTCAACCCACAATACCTCTACCCTTGTATATTACTCTGTAGTACCCAGATGGTCTTCTCTCCACACTAAATTTAAGGGGCACCAAAAACTCAGGATTCTGGATAAATGACACTTTTTGCACGACTTTTAAAAATCCAAATTATTATTATGAACACGTTAACAAGAACTTGAAGATAGGATCTGACCCTCCACTTGCACAACCAGCCGTGCCTTACTCCTCTCACCTTGATCATGACCCTGGCTCCAATCAACCACTGTATTCAAAAACCTGGCTTCTGCTGAAGTTTCCCTGCTTCACTCATTTTAATGACACATGAAAATAATTACCTTGGTGCCCAAGGGCAGGAGGTCTCCCAGTTGCCTTGGGACCCTCAACTGGCCTTTGGCTTAGGAAGGGAGGGAAGAGGCTCCGAGAGAGAGAAAGAAGCCTGGGTCCAGCCAGTGCTCCCTGGAAAGTGAGCGTGCCTCAGCATGCTGCTTACCAAGCTAGCATGGCCAAGTAGGGAATTCGTTGTAAAACGCTCTCCCACTCCTGTCGCTGCAACACATCAAAGTGGGACGGTAGAGGGTCTGCTGCCTGTCCCCAGGCTGCCTGGGCTCCAGACCACCGTCCTCCCAGAACTCTCCATCCACGAGGCTAGGAGCTCCCACGCCAACATGGCCCTTTGCTGGTGCTCCTGCTCCTTCCTTAGGTTTGCACTGTATTTCCTCCTCATCTTCTGATGCAATCACCGAGATCAGAGGAGGATTTGCATCTGGAAAGGGGGAAAGGCAAATAGACAAATGCTCCGCTGTCTCACGGAAAGTTTATTTCCTATTGTTGGCTGAAGCACCTGCCACCATCCAGGCACTGACCATACAGCTAATTCTCCCCAGTACTCATTGACTCCCAGGTAGTCATTTTCATCCCTGCTGCACCAGGGCAGAGACTATCTTCATGTAGCCGTGCCTCTCTGCAGACTCTGCGTGGGGATCCATGACAACCCCAGGCTGGGGTCCACAGGTGTAGCCAGCAGCCCAGTCAGGTGCTCTAGGGGTGTCTGGGCGCAGTGACAGTGTGTGGGTCTCAGGTTCAAAGCACGCGTACTACATGTTAGGCACTGGCTACTCGCTTTTTCACTGGCAGTTGCAGTAGGTGGGACCTGCTGGTGCATGCATGTTAGTGGGTGACCATCAAATATAAAATGTTGTTCATAAATATAAAGAACCCTTACAAATATAAATTTTATATGGCATTTGAATGAATGGTAAAAAACATATTTGCTCTTAGAATCATGTGCACGAATAAGAAATCTTATAGAGAATGCCCTTAGTGGTTCTTATCAACTTCAAAAAAGTTTTAGATGTTTTTGTATTTTATATGTTTATGTAAATATAAAAACACTTAGGAATAACTTTGTTTCATATAAGATAAATGTAACCAACCTAAAATTTATATATTCAGAATTATTGAATTCTTAAAATATGTGCATATTTACATTTTAATATATAATTAAAACCTAAATGTATGATTAACATAAAATGTATTTAGAATATACCTATTGAACTATCAAAATATAAATATTTAATTTTTTTATATAAATAAAATCTAAATATATAATAGAATATGGTAACATAATTTATAATTTTCTATTATGAACATTTTGTATATTATTTACAAATGTTTTATATATTTATGCATACTAAATTTATAAATATATACCATATAAAAGTATTTTTAAAATGTTTGAGGCTCACTAGATTTCTTAAAGGCATTCTCTTTATAGCATTTCTTATTAGTGCACATGATTCTAAGAGCAAATATATTTTTCACCATTCATTCAAATACTATACAACAATTTATTTGAGCATATATCCATATACACCAAAAAAGTGTTAGAAAGACACTAAAAACGTCTCTGACCAATGAAATCATAAGTTGAGGAGGAAGAAGGGTGCCTGTAGGGTGTGTGGGTGTGTACTGAATGGGGGATCTATAGTGCAGCTCAGCCAGGTGCAGCCAAGTTAGTGGGGTGCCTGTCCAGAGCACAGGGCTTTGCTTGATTTTACAAACTGATCTGGATACGAAGAGGAAAGACAGGAGACCTCATTCTAGCTCTTGGAACAAAATTTGGAGATGTCCTTTGACCCAGCCCTCCATATCCAGCAGCCAGTAACGTCAAAGGGGCTAGTAATTAAACTGAAATGATTGGCCTGGAGGCTGCTTGCTTTAAGTATTTGCAATGATGCTGAAATCAAAGCCCTCCATGCAACCTGTAGCTCTAGGGGATGGATCTTGGGGAGAGATTTGCCCAGCACTCTGGATGGTCACATGCAGTCTGGAAGAAACCCAGTGTGCCCCTTGAGAAAGTTTAAGTGCTCCAGAGTTTTACAAATGAAATCCACGTCAGAGGACAAGTACAGATTCCTGCCCAGTGCCAGATACTTGGGTTCTATCCTCAGCCAAGGAAGAGTGAGGAAGGAGAGAAAGCAATGAAGTAGTAGGGTAAGAGAAAAATAGGAAGAGAAAGGCCACCAATAATGAGAAGAGGCAGTTAGGAGCACAGGTCCAAAGCCTGGCTCACTGTGTGTCCTGGGCCAGTACATGATGAGCCTGTCTGACTCTCAGCTTCCTTACCTGAAAAACGGCGATAATGACAGTGCCTACATCATAGAGAGTTTTTGTGTGGGTTCAATGAATTAATGCATGTAGCTTCTTTCTGCAACTCCAAACATCCAGCTCATTAGTATATCTTAACTGCATTTCTAAAACGCATCCCCAAACCTTTCACTTTTCCCACATGCCTTAAATCTAACCACTATCATCTTAAAGTGGGGCATTGCATTAGCCTCCTGTCTCCATGTTTTCACCTTTCCTGCCTATGACCCTTCTCCACTTGGGAGCCAGAGTGATGTGATGGGTAAAATGTGAATTAGACTCTGTCATGCCTGCAAATTATGAGTCATATAGTGCTTGTCCTCCTGTTGGACCCAGAATAGGCATGTAAAACATGGAAACTATTATTTCATTACTATTTTCTGGCTCCTAGGGTATGTAAGGCTCCAGAAAAAGAACTGTTGATTGACATAAGCACTCTTCTGATACTCTTCCTGGCACAGAGCTTATACATGAAGAAGCCAACATAGGCTTATTGGCTGAAGCACACTGGTTAAAAAAAAAAAAAAAAGACATGACACAAGTGTCATTTTCACACGAAAATGTCCCTATCTTCACTGAACACTGCCAGAGGATAGCAGTCTCTCCTCTCTTGGACCCTTGTGAATAAAAAATATGAAAGTGACTGAAGTAGGAAATGTGAGGCTGCACAGTGTAATGGTCATTTGGGAAGTTTTATGGTTATCAACGCAATTCATCCTCCTAACACCCCATTACAACTACTAGTTAAAACTGTTATCCCCATTTTAAAGATAACTAAACCAAGGCAAAGTGAGAATAAGCAGCTCATCAGAGTAGCCAGAGAGCAAGTGGCAAACAAAGCCCGCATTTGGAAGCCAGCAGTCTGGCTCCAGAGCCCTTGATCTCCCAATTAGATCTGTCACATCAGACCATGATTCCTAGCTACTTTCGCTTGGAATAGAACACCACCTTTATTTTAAAATAAAAATTAAACTACATCTAACTTAAAAAGTTGAAGTAAATACTGGAATAGCTGGTATGGAGGTAGGGCAACACTCACCTAGAGGAGAGGGACTGGAGCTTAGATAACAGTGGAGCCCACTGTGGAAATCTGTGGAAGGACACATCCCCTGTGCTGTCACAGATTTCCTAGCTAGTTCATTGAAAACCATGAGGAAAACCCGTTGGATCTCTCGTGTAATAACTGATTCAAGGTTGAAAATCCATCATCCATAATCTAGCCAAGAGAAGGGGAGGCCTGCTAATCCCCAAGTGCCAGCCTGCAAAGGAAACAATTTGGTTGAAGTCAGAGAGAGGTTGTGGGATTGCCATCCCTGGACATCTTTTTAAAAGTGAATTAGTCAGTCACCACATTCTAGCTGATTTTTAGGTGTCCTCCAGAAATATGAAATGGGAGGCACTTACCCATTAGGCACAGGAGGTGAGGTGTCTCAGCTGCATGATACTTACAAGGGCCCACAAAAATGGTTTCATTCATAAAATGATGCTGAAGACACTGGTGGCTGCCACAGTAAAAACAGGGTAAAGGACATAAAATTCCAAGCCTAGGGCCCACTATTAGAAGCCACTTTAAATACTTGGGATATGGACACCGCTGGAGCATCTACAAAACACGTCTTGAAGGCAGAACCACGGAGCCCTCAACCTGGCCCAGATCTTTTTTATTTGACTATAAATAAAATGTTATTTTTTTCCTGAGCAAGAGGTCAGGATGTTATTTCCAGGAAAAGGGAGGAAAGGGAGGAGGAGGAGGAGGAGGAGGAGGAGGAGGAGGAGGAGGAGCAGGCAGAAAGGTGGAGGACACTCACCCGGGTTCCCAACAGGAGCCCACCCAGCACAGGGAACACCCGAGCCTGGGTGGGGAGCATAGCAAGATGCTGGAGTGCAGTGCAGCGGAGGAAGCATACTCCCCAAGGGAATTCAGATCGTGTACTCCACTATGGAATCCACTGTGCAGTGCAAGCAAGCGTTCTTGGATGCACTAAGCACGGGGCTGGGATCTGCACCCGCACTCTGATGCAGATTCATTACTAAAGCTTTGGAGAACTTGAACTTTGAGGGACGCTTTGGGTTTCTTGCAGAGCACGTCCGACCCAGAATGCTCTGCAGACCCAGCCTCAAGATCCCATGCCGACACCCCGGGGAACACGGTGGGCTCTGCCTTGAGTGCACGTGCAGAAAATCAGGAGGAAACAGCCCCCTAATTAATCATTTCAGCTTATTAACTCGTAGCATATGCAGGATGCCAAATGTGGAGGGTTGGACCGTAAGACGGTCTCCTAACTTTTCACAAGGGCTCCCCATAGTTGGTGTGAGGTCTCATGCCTTCCATCTCTCCCCACTCCCGACCCCTCCCCAAAATCAGCTTGCATAATCTCGCACAACAGACACGCCTCCTGACTCCTTAGTAAGCTGAGCTGTAGAGCCCTGACTCTGCACACGCCCATCCCCCCACCACACGTCCTTCTCATAGCACCCCCTTGTGGCCACGCCCCAGCCGCTTTCGCGCCGAAGCAAGTCCCACTCACTACAACTGGCGGGAAAGAGACAGCCAATAGCAGTCGTCTGAAGGGGCGTGAGCAGGCCTAGAACCAGCCCCAAACCAGTTAGAACCAGTAGCTGGCGCCAGAAAAAACGTCTGTGCCTGCCGCTCTGTTCCAGGCCAGCAGTCTGTGGAAGCGCACGGCTTTTGCCTTGCTCCAGCCATGGAGCGTCAGCCCAGGGGCAATTACCATGACCTGGGCATCTACTATAACCTGGGCTACTTCTGCCTGGGAACATACGAAACCGGAATAAGATCTGGATTCGTGCAGGGTGCAGCATCAGACGAGAAAGGAGGCGGCCACCCTGGCGAAGGAACTCCAGACCTCACGGGCGATTCCAACCGTGAAGAAGGCGACATCAGGTGTGAAGACAAGAACCGTGAAGGTGACGGGAACCATGAGGGCGACGGGAGCCACGAGGTCGACGGGAACCACGAGGGTAGTGGGGGTGGCCAGAAGAATCAACAGCCTGAAGACCCGGCTTGTGCGGCGGTGGCTGCCGAGGCTGCGCTGCCCCACCGTGGGAAGCGACGCGCCCGGCGCATTCATTTCATGCCGGAGCAGCTGCGGGTGATGGAAAGCATTTTTGAGCAAACTCGGTACCTGGACGGGCTCACAAGGTAAGTGGCTTGCTCCAGGGAGCACTCTGTTCTTCAGGGGGTTTAGGTTCATTTCCAAGCACCTTTGTCTCTCCCCCAGCCTCCTCTCTCCCTTCCTAAGCCAAAAAAGCCACCTGTGCCCCAAGGTTGGGGGATGAGAATGCCTTCTGTGCAGCAACAGAAATATTTTCACACAGTAGTTATGTGAATCAAGTCTGGAAACTGGTTGGTGTTTTCTTTTTAATTGTAAAATACACATTAAGGCAAAATTTAGTATCTCTGCCATTTTTAAGCCTACAGTCCAGTAGTGTTATGTACATTCGTATTGTTATATAACCACTCTCCAGGACTCTTCCTCTTGAAAACTAAGAAGTCTATACGCAGTGAGAAACTCACTGTTCCCCCACCCAGCTCAGCCCTGGCACCCGTTTTGTACTCTCTATTGCCATTAATTTGACTGAGTGCCTCATGTAAGTGGAATCAGTTTTTCTTTTTGTGACTGGAGTTTTCCTCTTAGTGTAATATCCTGAGGCTTCATTCATGTTGTAGCATGTCTCAGAAGTCTCTTCCTTTTTAGGGCTAATATTCTGTTGTGTGTAAATGCCATATTTTCTTTACCTGTCCCTTTATTGATGGGCACTTGGGTTGCTTCTGCCTTTTGGCTGCTGTGCATAATGCTGCTGTGAACTTGGGTGTGTAAGTATCAGTTGGAGTCAGTTTTCGATTATTTCAGGTATAAACCCAAAGGTGGAATTGTTGGATTGTGTGGTAATTCTCTTTTTAATTTACTTTAACAACTGCTCTACTGTCTTCCATAATGGCTGCACTGTTTTACATTCCCACTAGCAGTACTACACAAGGATTCTGATTCTCCTTACTTTTCGACACTTGTTATTTTCTGTTTTTTTGATATTAGTTATCTCAATGCATGTGAAGTGGTACCTCACTGTGGTTCTGATTTGCATTTTGCTGTTGATTGGCGATGTTGAGCATCTTTTACAATGCTTATTCGAGTCGTTTCCCCATTCTTATGGTTTATAAGACTTTTTTCCTAATTTTTTTGTTATGGTGTCATTAATATACAATCACATGAGCAACACTGTGGTTACCAGATTGCCCCCATTATCAAGTCCCCACCACATACCCCATTGCAGTCACTGCCCATCAGCATAGTACGATGCCAGAGTCACTACCTGTCTTCTGTGTGCGATACCGCCTTCCCCGTGCCCCACCCCCACATTATGTGTGCTAATCATAATGCCCCTTAATCCCCTTATCTCTTCCTTCCCACCCCTCCTCCCCAGTCCCTTTCCCTTTGGTAACTGTTAGTCCATTCTTGGGTTCTGTGAGTCTGCTGCTGTTTTGTTCCTTCAGTTTTTGCTTTGTTGTTATACTCCACAGATGAGTGACGTCATTTGGTACTTGTCTTTCTCTGCCTGGCTTATTTCACTGAGGTCCATCAGATCCATACCCTCTAGGTCCATCCACGTTGTTGGAAATGGTAGGATTTGTTTTCTTATGGCTGAATAGCATTCCATTGTTTATCTTCTTTATCCATTCATCTACTGATGGACACTTAGGTTGCTTCCATTTCTTGGCTCTTGTAAACAGCGCTGCAACAAACATAGGGGTGCGTGTCTTTTTGAATCTGGGATCCCGCATTCTTAGGGTAAATTCCTAGGAGTGGAATTCCTGGGTCGATTGGCATTTCTATTGTTAGTTTTTCGAGGAACCTCCATACTGCTTTCCACAATGGTTGAACTAATTTACATTCCCACCAGCAGTGTAGGAGGGTTCCCCTTTCTCCACATCCTTGCCAGCATTTTTTGTTGCTTGTCTTTTGGATGTTGGCCATCCTAACTGGTGTAAGGAGATATCTCACTGTGGTTTTAATTTGCATTTCTCTGATGGTTAGCAATGTGGAGCGTCTTTTCATGTGCCTGTTGGCCATCTGAATTTCTTCTTTGGAGAAGTGTCTCTTCAGATCCTCTGCCCATTTTTTAACCGGATTATTTGGTTTTTCGTTGTTTAGGCACATGAGCTCTTTATATATTTTGGATGTCAACCCCTTATCAGATATGTCATTTATGAATATGTTCTCCCATACTCTAGGATGCCTTTTTGTTCTACTGATGGTGTCCTTTGCTGTACAGAAGAAGCCTTTTAGTTTGATATAGTCCCACTTGTTCGTTTTTGCTTTTGTTTCCCTTGCCTGGAGAGATATGCTCATGTTGGTATTCAAGAGATTTTTGCCTATGTTTTCTCCTAAGAGTTTTATGGTTCCGTGACTTACATTCAGGTCTTTCATCCATTTTGAGTTTACTTTTGTGTCTGGAGTTAGACAGTAATCCAGTTTCATTCTCTTACATGTAGCTGTCCAGTTTTGCCAACACAAGTTGTTGAAGAGGCTGTCTTTTCCCCATTGTATATCCATGGCTCCTTTATCATATACTAATTGACCATATGTGCTTGTGTTAATATCTGGACTCTATTCTGTTCCATTGGTCTATGGGTCTGTTCTAGTGCCAGTACCAAATTGTCTTGATTACTGTGGCTTTGTAGTAGAGCTTGGATTTTGGAAGCGAGATCCCCTCTGCTATATTCCTCCTCCTCAGGATTGCTTTGGCTATTAGGGGTCTTTTGTGATTCCATATGAATTTCAGAACTATTTGTTCCAGTTTGTTGAAGAATGCTTTTGGTATTTTGAAAGGGATTGCAGTGAATCTGTAGATTGCTTTAGGCAGGCTGACCACTTTGACAATACTAATTCTTGGTACCCAAGAGCATGGGATGAATTTCCATTTATTAGTGTCCTCTTTAGTTTCTCTCAAAAGTGTCTTGTAGCTTTCAGGGTATAGGTCTTTCACCTCCTTGGTTAGGTTTATTCCTGGGTATTTTATTCTTTTTGATGCAACTGTGAATGGAACTGTTTTCCTGATTGCTCTTTCTGCTAGTTTGTCGTTAGTGTATAGGAATGTGACAGATTTGTGTGTATTAATTTTGTATTCTGCAACTTTGCTGAATTCAGATAGTAGTTGTACTTTTGGAGTGGATTCTTTCAGGTTTTTTACGTACAGTATCACGTCATCTGCAAAGGGTGGCAGTTTGACTTTTTCCCTCCCAATCTGGATGCCTTTTATTTCTTTGTGTTGTCTGATTTCCGTGGCTACAAACTACAGTACTGTGTTGAATAAAAGCGGGTAGAGTGGGCATCCTTGTCTTGTTCCTTTTCTCCTGATGTTTTATTGTGGCAAAATACACATAAAATTTAGTGTCTTCACCATTTTTAAACATACAGTCCAGTAGTGTTATGTACACACATTGTTGTGTAACTGATCTCCAGGACTCTTCATCTTGAAACCTGAGAAGTGAGTACAGTGTGAGCAACTCACTGTTCCCCCAGCCCCCTCAGCCTGGGCAACCATTTTGTTACTATCTGTTCCCATGAATTTAACTACTCTGAGTACCTCATGGAAGTGGAATCATAGTTTTTTCTTTGTGAGACTGGCTTTTTTCACTTAGCATCATATCCTCAGGGTTCATTCATGTCATAGCGTGTCCCAGAAGTCCTTCCTTTTAGGGCTAATAATATTCCATTGTGTGTAAATACCATCTTTTCTTTACCTGTCCATTTATTACTGGGCACTTGGGTTGCTTCTGCGTTTTGGCTATTCTGGGTAGTACAAATATCTTTCCAAGACCATTTTCAATTATTTTGGGTACATATGCAGAAGTGGAATATTGCTGATCATAGGCTAATCCCATTTCTAAATTTTGTTTTTTCCTTAGCAGCTGCATCATTTTACATTCCCAAGACTTCCAATTTCTTCACATCCTTATCAACACTTGGTGTTCTGGTGTTTTGGTAGTAGCTATCTTAATGGGATGAGGAGGAAATCAGTGTGGTTTTTATTTGCATTTCCTTAATGAACATTGATGTTGAGCATCTTTTCACGTACATGGTAGCCATTTGTGTGTCATCTTTGAAGAAGTGTCAGTTTGGGCCCTTTGCCCCTTTGTTAATCTGGGTGTTTCTTTACTGTCGAGTTGTAAGAATTCTTAATATATTCTGTATAGTAACTCCTTATCAGATACATGATTTGAAAATATTTTCTCCCATTCCATGGGTTGTCTTTTCACTCCGTTCGTGTCCTTTGATGCACAGAAGTTTTAAATTTTGATGTAGTCCCATATATGTATTTCTTGCTTTTGCCACCTGTGCTAGTGGCCCTTTTTAGTAAATAAAATTTTAGTGGAATCAGGGAAGGAGAGTGAGGTACTGTCATGCAACCCCAGTTGATGGATTGTTCTTTTATTAAAAGTTTTGATAATTTGTTCATTAGACTCTTTGCATTAATTTTTTTAAAAGGTACATTAAAATTATTTTTCTTGGATACTGAGTTGTCAGTGCCACCTTAAATTTTGAGGGGAAGCCATCTAAAAAGGAAGCCTGGGGCCGTAAATGACAGAAAAGTTTACTTGGGCGGTCTTGCGGGGAGACTACAAATTTAAAACAAGCATAAAATGTACATATTTAATGTTATCCACAACTGCGAATACTAAGA